TTCTGACAATTGTCAAGCTGTTATATCAGTATAGTTATGACAATTTCAAAATAATAGTAACAAAGAACAGCAGTAACCCTAGGAACAAACAAAGTGTATATCTTTAAATGCGGAAAATTTAAAATGTTAACGCTTACTATTTACTAATACTAATAGTATAGCCATGCAGTATAGCAGTGACCCAATGAAACAGTTTACTGTAAACAAGTCAGTGTCAATGAACTTCAAAATACAGCCACCTGTAAATTTAACAAGCTACAACAAGCAAACACAACTAAACTCACTGCACCAACCAACGTATTTTGCAAATAATTTCAAATGACTGGGGTGCAATCTACACTGACGACTGACTCCAATAACAGCTGCATCACTTTGAGTTGACCATGACAGACAACTGGAATTATTTGCAATATTTAGAATCAGAATCCTGTCAAATTTAAAAGTTCTGGAGTAATTCTTGATTATCATTCGCTCTGCTTGGCTTCCGATGTTTTTCATTCTCCCGCCAATCATGAGAAGTGTTGCCCGATTTACCTCCGAATATGTACATGTTTCAATAATACATGCATCCCAGTTGATCGCAATGTCATTTTTTATCTTGTAATAACCTGGAGGCTTCGTACAACATGTCTAAATTATTATTGGTAGTACTAGAGTCATGTTGTTGTGTTGATAATGCTGTTACCGGATCAACACGCTCAGTCTCCGCAATGTCTAGCGATTTATTTTTTAGTCCACGCATAGACATATCAATTGGCATGTCGTTCGAACACTGGTCATCTGACTCAGTTTTATCAAAACGAAAAAAAACGCTTTCACTTTGATATTGTATTTGTGTCTTGGTCGGGTTATAACATGTACTCGGTGACAACTCGTTTCCGGCGTTGACGGTAAGTCTTGAATGTTTACTTCGGTTTGGATTGGTCTCGAAATATCGACGAAGAGGACGATTGAATGTACTGAAATCAACGTTGTCATGGTGAATACTAGTGTGTACACGAGAAGGTTGTGACGTCACAAGCTCGTCGTTGATCCGGGTTTTTCCAGGGCCATAGACTGAACTGGCAAATCCGGAACTCGATTCACAAGACTCAGATGACTAAGACAATAATTGACTGGTGAATGATTCAGTAATATGCCTACATTTTGGTACGGGAATCTCTGGACTGACCCTATTTCGTGCTGCGTGTTGGTTGAAGGAAGGCGTCAAGTCGACCGGAGCGTCATCACTCAGGGCGGTACATGACGAGTTCTCACATTTCCTGCCAGTGGCAGTAACGGTGTCTTTTTTTTTGTCTGTAGTGGCGACGCCACCGTGACGTAAAAAGCCGAACCCGGGACAGAATCGTGTTCGTTGCGAAGAGTTTGTTTGTAAATTAAGTCCACTTTGTTTTGCATTCTTGATATTACATCTATTAGATTTTCAATTATAGCAACTCCTTCATTTCGTGTCGCACGGTCTTGATCAAATTTGAAGGTATTCAAACTTTGTTGAATCCCAAGTTCCAACATCAAGTCGTCTTGTTCCTTCTCTACTTTGCTACAGTGATTTTTTTCTGCCGACATTTCTTGCAGTATTGTCACCCATGTAGTGTGTAATACCGGTATCTGTATTTACCGTGGATTCAGTGGCTTCTGGCCAAGTAACACCTTTCATTTTCCAGAGGTCTATTACTTTTCTCTGTTTTGCGCTTGAATATTTGTTTGTTCATTTTCTCCCGTTTTTTGATTGTCAAATTCTCAGATTAATTCCTGTAAATCAATCGGGTCACCCGGAAGTCTTCCTTCTAACATTGTTTCAAGTTTTCTACTGTCCGTATTGACTTCCAACCATTTTACTTGGCCCCCAGTTGTCAGATATTTGTCCGTGTCACTGGCAATGAGTTGATCAAATGTGGCAAATGTGTTCCGGGTAGCCGAGATATTTTTTTCTAACCTTTCAAGTTCGAGATTTTTATCTTTACTTTTTCCTTTTCGTGACCTTATTTCACTTCTTAATTTACTCATTTTCTGTCTTTCGTTTCGGTGTTCACTCCTGGTCACGTCTTTACAAAACGT